GCTATTATTTATTTTTTTATTTTTGATCACAGCTTGATTCCACACTGTATTTTTGGTACAAGTATGGAATTTTCAGCATGGATATCGGTAGCCCAAATTTTGCAGGCCGACCATAGAGATCGGGTGTGCGTCGGCAGGGGATCGAACCTCGAACCATGTGCATGGTCAGCGAGAGTCCTAACCACTGTGACACCGACGCACATTGTCGAAACAGTACTTAAAAATGTGATCTGAGTGAAATCTGCTGCTTATTTGGTGAATAGCTCCGATAGTTCAGCTACAATAATGACAGGTACAGTTAACCAACGACTGGAATGCATTCAAGGTCACTGGGCGTTTGCATGGCCGGGACTCTACTGTTGAATTTCGCCGCGGTTTGTTCGTATTAGTGTGACTGTTTGGGAGTTTTTTCGCTAAATGATATTATCTGGGAATGCAGGCCTTTAAGTCCTAGACATATATTACCAATGGTGATAAGACTTTCACACCGTTCGCTGTCTGCTAGGTTTGAGGCGAGCTTAAAGAGTTGGGATGTGGTCAGCCCATTCTGATGCACGTGCCGTGTGGCACGATGTAAAGTCATGGATCACTGGTTCACTGTTCCATCGTTACTCACACTTGAAATATGGGGGACTATGCAATTTATGGGCTTGAAAAATCATTTGGAATATCGTAGAATGAAAATAAATCGGTCATGTTGCATTTTTGGTCCTTCTACTATGAAGTATAAGTTAAATATTCTCTCTGCTGTGGCCTTGTAAACTCATTTGCCCTGTTCATATTGTTAGTATAGTGTATTATATTTGTGAGGCTATACTCGCATCTCTATAAAATACTATTTTAGTTGATTTCTTTCGTAAACTTTCACCTGTTGCCTTGTGTAGTGATGCTGATTTTGTGAGGCTAGATACCTGGAAATCACCCTTCACTCAACCTATAATTCGATTTGTAGCTGTCCAAGCAGGAGTGAGTTGGCGAAATGCGTTTTTTACGTAGCCAGTCGTATGTAACCAGTCAGCATATCGGTGAAAGTCAGTTGACGTCTACTCGAGAAGTGCTTCTCCTACTCTTGTGCATATTCAGGAAACCAAGGTTAATTTTATTGGGCATTTGTTGTTGGAGAAAGCTAGATGTCGGAGTTATAAAACATAAACAGGGAGAACTATTTAGAGGCTGGTGATAGTGAAATTTGGAAGTGTTTATAAGAGACTTGAGTGCTGCCTAGAGTGTGGTGATTAATAACCCTTGACTGCTTAAGGCATATATTACTCCTTTTATGATATTTGACGAGGAAAGTGAATTAATTTAGAGTGACCAAATAAAGTTCGGAGCAGTTCACATAGAAACTGTAGACAAAGTTTTGTTTGTAAACTAAGTAATCTTATAACTAGCAGTTTGAAGTCGTGAGGCAAGGTACATGTCTGTTTTGGTTCTATGTTTCCAGAATAAGAAGGCAACACTACCTGTATACTGAGTTCCATGGTGAAACGCCCCACTGTTGTTAGATATTAACGGAAAACTTTGCGTCCAAGTGCATTACTTCAAGCAGCTGCGTAACTTTAAACCGCAAAGTAGGAAGTGAAGTGCTACTGCTACACTCCCCTTGTTTTTATGTTATTCTGTATAGTCTATGTGGTTCATTTTCTGATGCTGATGGTGCACAAACTCTAGACCATATTTATATCCGAAAAATGTGTTTTTGCACAACATATCTAACATTCCGATCGTATATTTAGTTGTCAATTCGATTTGTATATAAAGAAATTATAGGCTGATTAGAATAATAAGATAACAAGGGGTTTCGGAATAAGGTGGATAATAATTTTCGTAATATACTCAGGTAAGGATTTCCAAGTTAGGTGGTTAATGATGACAATGTTTTTGTATATACGGGGAGGGGGGCTTTATTTAACAGAGCCATCACTACTATTGACGAAGTTTACGTATGATCTTGAAAACTGTTATGATATTAGTCTTATGACTCACATCAATTGTTTTACTATAGACGAGGCTGGTAGTGTGTCAGCTGCTCTTATCAAGACTTTGGATTTCAGTCCATACGTCAGTGATATACTACAGTTCAAAAACTGTTACTTTAGTATAGTTTCATTGTCTGTTTAGATAATGTGATGAAAACAACTACTTAGTTGGTGTAAATTATTGACTTACGCATCGGACATTTGGTTTGTGTGTTTAGTTTCAGTTTTACCTTTTGTCGTTTAAGGAACTAGACGGTATCATAAGGTGCCACGTTTCAGATGTATTTTATAGACTCGTACTCCAAAATTTCATGTAACCTTCGAGTGTTATGCATATTGACTGTCTTTAGATCAACTTATTTTGAAGTAGAAACATTCAGGAATCACATCTTTAGTGGCTTTTGAATGCATAGTTTGAAAGCAGTTAGTTCCCTTTATGAATTTCAACTAAACAATAAGAAGACAATTTTTGTCTGACATGTATTTGTGTTACAGATTTAGGACATTTTGAACACATGTACTGACTGACTGGTTTCAATATAGAGCTTTGCACCAATGTGCAGCAGTTCGAGTGGCCACACTCCATGTAGCACACAAGCAAGAGAAGAAAGTAAAAAGAAATGCAAAATATGAGGGCAAAAAGAATAGTAATATTGAAGAACAATATAGTTTTATTGGGTATTGTAAGTCACAAGAAGTGGATCCATCTGCACCATTGAGAACGATTTTCAGCCATATCATCCATCGTCTCCAGCCATAGGCGTTTACCGTCTTGAGGACCCTAACCAGAAAGTCTACACCTTACTACTTAGCTTAAACTAACTGTTGTGGATTTCATTGACTGATGAAGCTATGTTTTGGATTGACCACCACTAGCTGTTTTCCAACCTAACCCATCCTATGTCAGTTGACATTGCCCATTGTCAAGGAAAGCGATGGCTAGGCATGCATTCGTAACATATGTCCTAACCATCTCAGTCGATGTAGCTTCATAGCCTCGTCAGTTGATTTCCTCTCATTTGATTTGATTATAGCTTGATTCCACACCGTATTTTGGTACATGTATGGAATTTTCAGCATGCGATATCGATAGCCCAAATTTTCCAGGCCAACAATTGATATCAGGTATGCGTCGACCGGGGATCGAACCCCGACCCCATTACCTAGCACTCGACGCCTACCCTCAATATTGCTCACTCTATACAACTTCATATGGGAGATAGAACGCAGGCACCTATGATCAAAGTCGGCTAGCCTTTCGATGTCTTCCACTTTCAATGGCCAGGTCTCACAGCCATATTGAAGGAGGATGGAGAGGACTGCCGAGCAGTACACACGCCCACTAGTCGATAGCCGAATATCACGTCTACGCCAGAGATCGCGTAAACTGGCATATGCGAAACTAACCTGTATCCGTTCTGAGGATTCGTCAGCCATTAACCCATGGGGCTGATGCAACTTCTTGGGGCGTAAGGGGAGACTACGAATAGACAACGATAGGTAACGTCGTTCTTCTTTCTTCTAACGGACCCGTTCAGACGGACCACACACACGACTATCTACTGGGATCCAGTCAAGAAGTGATTTTTCTGCCCTAACACTCAATGCTATCCCTACACCTGCGAGTCCGCGAACCAGCTGGGGGGGTGGTCTCCTGATACTCTTAAAGTGAATTTTGCAGATCCACCTAGTTGACTGGGCGAGGTTAAGTGAATGACCACACTCGTGTATTGTATGCGTATCTCCGAAACACAACGTACATCCACGGCTCAAGATGCCAGAGTTCTTGCTATTGATACCTGTTGTGAGATTTGGCAGACTGTCTTTACGTTGGACACTCCTATATGACGTTAGCGACGTGGCTTTAAGGGGCTATTGGGGGTGTTTCTATGGCTCTCATCATTGTGGTCACACACACCATGAAAGTTATTTGATTCCTCGGTTAACTTAAACAGAAAGAGGGTTGCGTGACCGCAGAGCCCAGAGACAACTGCTTGATGCTGGCCGATTAAATACGGCCTGTATGAACTGGTTTCTTGGATTGTTTCGGTATTGGTAAATTTACCGCCAGTTACGGACTACCGTAGGGCAATTCGGGATGTACAATTGTTGGGGTCGGCCTTTTCTAAACCCCTCCCTCTAGAGTGGAGAGACAGCATAGTTGGCATGCTGATCATATTAGGGAAACACCTTACCGCTGTTGCATCCTTGTTACCCAGCTGTACGACTTCGCCCATATACCTTCAGCAGTGTAAACAAAAAATTCCTACATTATGCTGGTAACTGCTTTTAGTCTAACCGCCACGCTAACAACCTTCCTAGCATGATAGGGCCTGCAGGAACAATATTTCCAGCCAGTGTAGCTTGTTGGGTGATTGCTATATACAAGCCTGACCATCACGTCAAGACAGTAGCTGTCGGTCATACTGTAACAACAGAAGGCAAGACACGGAAGCCAAAGTATATTTTCCATTGATCAAACAGCTCTTTATATGTGTACAGTTTATATTCTTTAATGAATCACTGAGCGTGTGATTTCCGTTTACATTAGACGACATGAAATAGAATGTTTAAATGTACATAGTATTCTTTTGTTAATGCGGTATGACCGTGGGAAATGTATTCCGCCTCTAACATCAAACAGAATGTTCAAATAGGATATATTGTATTCTATCGCTAATGCCGAATTGAACTGTGGGAATATGTGAGAATAATATTCCGTTGGCACACATTGTCTGTATCACACTAACACAACACTAGTCATGCTACCACAATACTGTGTCGACATAGAACTTTGCACCAATGTGCGGCATATTTATGCATCAGTTAACACAATTTTGTAAAATTCAATCGTAAAAGATGTTTCTACCTGTAAAATTCTTAACATTTAGGTACGTCACTATTGTAATGATATTTCTGTATTATTTATTTTAGTTCAGGCGTTATTTTGCTGTTCCTGTGCTCGCGATATAATTCATCCTCCTAATTATTAGAAATTAGAAACTGACGTACCTCTTGCAAATGGTTGCTGACACTACAGATCACAAGGTACATTTCGTGCAGTCGGATATTTCGCTGTACGAGGATTCATCTCTTATAGATACTGGAACAGTGAAAATAACTGAAAGGTGAGTCTTAGTGATCCATTTGTAATGTAATATATTGATTGCCCGGCCGACAACTGCTACCTTGCCGTGGTGGTCGGGCTTGAAAACCGCAGTGACCCAACAAGCTAAACTGCCCGGACTCATATCCCTGCAGGTTCTACCATGTCAAGAAGGTTGTTTGGATAGCGGTTAGACTAAAAGCAGTTACCATGGGGTACATGGGCTCCAGAATCCAATCGGTTCAAATGACGTATAAACCCATATGGGTCACCGTCAACCATGGGAATGCAGTTCCTGACGCCGCTCCGCTGCCTTGCGGATTAGACTCCAAGTCAAAGGTTCGGGGGTGGTCCCTTAAGAAAGCCACCTGCTTCGGTCTGGGCGCCCGGGCAGTATCTCAGCCCTCACACAACACAACATTGTGTAACGCATCTTTCTTGGTGCCATATTGTACCAAGTTTTTTTCTGCCTTCAAATAAATAATATATTGATTGAGTCATATTTCCCCTGTAGACGTCGTGTTTATAATTTTTTGTGTGTACTCCATTTTGGCTTTAGTTTTATTATTGTTTGTCCTCTTTTTTCTTGTTTTTATCTCTATTTGTTGTAAGAATTGACATTGTAGAGCAACGCTTAGCGAAGTATTACTTTTCAGTCTGTTGACTTCGACTCTTTTTGTCTTGCTTTAAGGAATGATTTAAGGTTAATGTTGCGTTATTTATTCACTCGTTTAAAGTTTTTTTTTCTGAGGTATAATATTAAAATGTTGAATTTTTGCAGTTGCTTTTCATGGGAAGGCACAGCACTACAGTTTTTCATTCCCTACTTACAAATTGCATTGCATGCAATTGCAAAGAATACAAATAACCAAACAGGAAATAACGTGTTCCCTCATCCGCATTTATTGATAATGGTTGAGGGAGATCGAGTTTGGGACCCAAACAATGGAAGTGAGTCGAAGCCAAAAAGTGATGAAAATGAAATGGCAGTTGATGAAACTGAATCTCGAGATGAGGATGCGAGCGGTCAAGGCAATCATGATGTAGATTTTCCTAGTACTACATCTGTGCTGCGTTTGGTTCCATCTGATTGTGCTCACTTGGAAGACATGTTCAAAGCAATAGCTGAATGTCAAGCTTTAAACCCTCATCCGGAAGATGATAACTCTGATTTGGATAGTTTAACAGAAGATAATGAATATGAGGAGAATGATGATGCAGAATTAGCAAATCATGCTTGTAGTGAGTTACGTTTATCATTATTATTATTAACAGCATAACCTTTGTTGAAACTTTTAATATTTACCGTAATAAACAGCCTAGTTATAGAAATTAGAAATGATACAAGCCTACTAGGTCACAAGTTCATACCCCCTCCGCCCCGCTTATCAAAGTTTGACCAACCAAGGGGTGTCATCATCAGCGCCCACACAGTAGATCCGGCTCATTGCCCGCTGCATTGAAATGCAAGTGGTTTTTGAGATGTTGAAACTGTCTTTGCACGAAGTTGTTTCAGTTCATGCTGCTGAATGCCAAAAGCAGCACTTATCAGAAAGGAGAATTTCAAATCAGTATTATAATATATTAAGGAGACATGATTATGAGTGAAGAGAGATGTGGATATTCGTGTATAATCCCCATCTAGGTATGAATGAAAAGAACAAAGCAAGTAGGTCCACCGAAGAAGCTCTTCTCGATGAATTCATTTTCTTCTTAAGCTGTAGAATCGCATTAATATGGATTTTTTTACGAAAGAGTAATGAGTTGGCATAATCACAGTTATTTACATTAATAACCAATACATAAGGGGAGTTGAATAATAATGTTAGACTCACGCAATAAGATGAATAATTTAATGAATCAGGTGTAACTTCAATGCACAACAGAAACGAAAGAAAGAGTAATAATGACATAAGAGTTATAGAGAATTGAAAAGCAAAAATAAAGTTCGTAGAAATCGATGAGACCGTTACCATGATAGCAGAATTGTTTGAATAATCTTACGTGCGCATAGCTCCAGTGTCTCTGTGAACAACTGAAGCTTCAGCAATGCCAAGGAGACGAAGACGTATTTCCTTTGACAGATTGTTCTTCACTTTGAAGGCGATTGTTAAGATGGAATGACTAGTATTGACAAGGTGTTCGACTATCGCACTCCTTATGGAGCCATTACCGCTTTTTTTGCAATCATACAGGATAGTGTTTTTGAACCCCTCCTAGACAGCATATGCGTCGAATGAGCATTATACCTGGCTCCACAAGAATATATATAATGTGGTCAGATGCTAGGTCTTGTCTTTCAGGCTTCCACAGCGTTAGGGTTGCAGATGCGTTGGCTGTGAGTTGCAGGGGATTTAATCAAATTGCGTTTTCTTTCAATAGGCACTCAACTGTAGAAACTTCTCCGTTGACCATTCCCTTGTGAGCTTCCTATGGATATATCTTCTTAAAGTTCTAAAGGTTCTTCTTCTCAGTAGTTCCACATTAAGAAAGGGGTTTTTCGAATTCGTTTTCCATTTCAGTAGTGGCTTTTATTGCTGAATGGCAGTTGTTAAATGCATATAACACCTGACTGAGGTCATAATTATTGTCATAAAGGATTAAAAAATGCCCACATACTGTGTATACAGTTAAGAGGTATCAATAGTCGACTTTAAGGAACCGTCGTCGAGACTTGCCATGAAACAGTCTGCTAGTAATTGGACCCAAAGGAGATCCCATTGAAATGTCATCCTGTTGTTTGTAATTAGGGTCACTATGAGTACACCTCAGCAGTATTCCTTTCAAATACACTATTTTTATTCCAATGTCTAACTGGTTACCATATATACACTTGTCTATAAAAAAGACAGTTTACGTGAGTGAGGACATTAGTGAGCAGTGATTTACTGTTGAGAATTAACATACTTAGTAGTATATACATCTTGTATGCAATCGATAAATTGTAAAGTATCACTCACAAAGGCGATGCATGCATACATGTTCGCTTACAGGTTCCAGAATATCAACCAACCATTTTTTAAAGTAGAATGATAAGGGGAACCTGACATTTCTAGAGTTGGACAAAGAAGAAGACTGAGCTTGTGTATCATTTTTTTATTCCTTTACGTTCCCAGTGGGGCATAGGGCTTCAAGCTAGAGATTGGCTTACCGAGATAAAGGAGTGTGCATCCATGGCCGGGGATGGAACCCCAAACCACCTGTGTGGTTGGCGAGCACTCTACCGCTATGCCATCGACCCACATTATCAATAGCAAAGCATAAAGTCTTTGTGTTAGAGATGAACCCAGAGGTTAGATATCATTATAATTAATTGGTCAACTTTCACTCTTTTCAAGACAGCTTACGTGCATGCATGTACTCGCTTAGTGACACTTTTAAATTGATTGACTGTTATTTAAACGTACAAGTTCTAATCTGCAGAGAAAAATAATAGCGAAACAGCACTTATATATATATATTTCCTATTACAACTATAATTAAGACAGGCACTTTCCGAGAAGAGTTCACAAAATCTGTTAAACTAATCTAAAATATGCCTGACGTTTGGAAATCGCTGACAGAGTCAAAAAGTTCATCGTAAAAACACACCACCACCAACAACAAAAAGAAACTGCATTACTCACAAAAACAACTTCCGTAGACTGTAACAGTACTTGCCTCTACGCTTCATAGAGTTATGGATACTCACTGTTGAAGCTTTTCAACAAAGTAAAGTGAAACATCTATCCACTGATGCGTAAATAAAAATTCAAATATAAACCAATCATGGTGTTTTTTTAATAGGATAATAAGCTGGTGAATATAAATTGTGCAATTAGTCATAATAGTAGTAATGATAATAATAATAATAATAATGGTCTTATCAATAATAAGGATGAAAAAGTGAGGCAATCTGTGATAACACGAATAATGAAAAACAATATGATTAAATAAACAATTGTTCAGGTGGAAGTAGTCGATAAAGGCTAGTAAAAACAAATGAACCGATTCAGTAATGCTAAGGGAGGGATAATGGCTGTACGAACTTCTTTTGAATGCATAGTTTAGGTTTAATAGTTGTTCGAGTGCCTATCGCCTCAGCTGTGTGCAGTGGACGAATATGAAGTCTATTGGAAAGATTCGGTGGGATACCATGAATTATTTTGAAGGCTCTCGTTTTCTCAACTACATGACCACTATCAATTAAATGTGACAGAATTGAGCTACAGATTGTTTTTGTCTGTCCTTTGCCAAACCACGATGGGAGATGTTCACTAACACGGTGGTTGGCTAAACTGTCTAGTAGTACGTCCAACATAACAGTCACCGCAGGTGCAGTTGAATTGATAAATGCACATAGGTGTGGCGAAACTATCAAGCCTAAAATCGTTTGCGTCCCAATGATTCGTCGGCTAGAGAATGACAAACATAGGTGTGCTGCGTAAAATGTCCTTCGTATACTCCTGGAAAGTGTCTGGAATAGAATCTCACTTGATAAGTCACCATTAAATTATAACATAATAAATAGAGGTTTCTTACGTGCAGTCAGAGTCTCAGGTTTTCTTTCTGATGTTTTCATATGTTTCTTTATGAAACTACTCGGATAGCCCATCTCCGTCAAGCAATCGTGAATATATTCAAATTCCTTTTGTAAGAGGTCATCCGTACATATCTTTCTTGCTCTGCTCGCGAGACATTTTACAACATTCCTTTCATATTTAATGTGTACGTAACTAAGGAAATGTGTGTATTGCCCTGTGAATGTGCTTTTTCTATACACGCTTCTCCCAAGTGACCCATCTTCTCTTCTACTTAGCAAGACATCCAGAAATGTAGTTTATTCTCCTGCTTCTCCTAACAAGTAAAGGTAAGCGAAGGGTGGATACTGTTGAATTTCAGCAACAATTCGTCTATGTTAACATTCCCATCAGCTAAGATAAATGTATCACCGACATATCAGTAATACATGTATATAGACATATATACACAAAACACCATGATTGGTTTATAGTTGAATTTTTATTTGTAAAGTTATGTAGGTATATTAGAGTTAAGCCTGATGAAATCTAATTGAAAACACAATATTGTTCGCTTATTTTTCAGTTAGTGATACTTTTTAATAATTATTATTCGTGACAAAATTCACCTTGAAACCAACCTTCAAGCAAAACGTTTTAAAAAAAAATAAAATAAAAAATATGCATTAACTTGTTGTATGGTTTGATAAATTTCATTGGTATTTTCTTCCTTTTCGTTTCTAGATAATGGGACACATTTCGATCCAGATCAGTTCGCTGATGCATAGAATTTCAATATGCATATGCACACCTAGATGTTTAAAACAAATGTATTTTTTTTCTAATAAAACTTGTCATTGACCTTTTGGTTTGAGGGTTGTCATTCGAAGTTCAGCAAAGTTGGACTGATCTTTTCATAAAGTCGTGTTTATTTGAACCCAACTACTACTACTACACGGAGTAGATTTTTCATATCCTAAGCTAAAAACCTGCATTTATTGTGTGTGCGTGTGTGTGTGTGGTGGGGGGCGCTTATGATGCTGTACAGTTACGCTTAGACTGAATCAGCTTAAGTGTGAGATGACTCGAATTCGTGACCCCACAATGTAGAAAACCTGAATTGTGAAAAACATTTGCCTAGTGAAAATTTCAATCTGAGAACAAAACAGAGAGGTAGTTCAGCGAAGAGTCTCTTTTCGGCAGCGAATTCATTCACACTTAGCTGTACAATCGCAATTATACGTGGTTATTTTTGTATGCATGTGTGTGTGTACATTAGGTTTGTCCGATAAGAGGAAAAAATAAGTTAGCATTGGTGTTGTCTAGAAATTTCAAAATTGTGATAAGTAATCAAAACTGTAACTAGGTTGGAGTTGAAGATTAGTAAGAGGGGGGTAGTGGTGATGTGTTTTAAAAAATTTAAGTGATAAGATGAACAGTTTAATCAGTGAGTTGTGATTAAGATGCACATAGAAACAAAGGAAAATATGGGATTGAAATAATAGAGGAGATGTGTAGCTCAGGTGGATGATTTGTAATTAATAGTGTTCTCTGAGCTGGTTGGTTGGTTTAGTTGCAGAGCTTTCGTCGTCCCCCTTCTGGACAACACCCCCCTTCAGCGCAATTTTTAGCATAAGGTGAAATGATTTAAATTTCTTCATGAGTGATAGGATTGCGTCTCCTGGTAACCATCTTTACATATGTATATTGACCATTATTTTCTATTGACTTGGATTTTAAACTTTCTGGTCACATGATTTACTTTTTATTAGTTAGTATATTTATGCTAAAAATTGCGCTGAAGGACGACGAAAGCTCCGCAACTAAACCAACCAGTTCAGAGAACACTAGTAATTGCAAATTATGGGATTATGTAAGAGTTCGAAAAATTACAGAAGTTACCAGGAGTAGTTAAGAAAGAAAAAAAAAGAAACACACAAACATCAAGTCAGTAGAAGTCAACACGTTTGTAACCATGATATGAGAAGTGGTCGGGTGATTTTCTTTTGTATACATACATATCTTTGGTTTCTCCAATTGAAAGGCTAACATTTCAGCAATAAAAAGGAGAAGAAAGCGTTGTCTTGCGTAGGTTGTTTTCTCAGCTTGTCGATCATTATGAAGGAGGCGTTTGTTGAGATGGGATGACCAGTGTTAACGAGATATTTGATTATCACACTCCTTATACAACCACTATTTATTTTACTCTCCCTGTATATCACTTTACTAGAAAACACTTCTGACACCGAATACTAGTGTGTTGTTCTACTATTATTATTTCCACAGATATCTGAAGGGAATTTATTATTGGCGTTTCCGTGCTACTTGTAAGTAGTAAACGGAAAACACAGAAAAGTACTGCTAAAGGTCGCTTGTTTAACTGACTGTGTAGCCTATTCAAATACTATTTCCTTTCTGTAGCCACGCTGGATAGTGTTCTTTGACCCTTTTAGACAGGATGCGCGTTGAACGACCAATGTACCTGGCTCCACAGCAACAGGTGAACTGATATATACACATAGAAGTGGTCATGTGCGGAATCTTGTCCTTTGGGTTTCTGCAGATCAGCGGACGACTGGAGAACACTATTCTTAGTGTTGCCGCAGGGAAAGTTCTTCCTAAAGAGGTGGAAATTCTCCTTCTGAGGACGTCACTAAATAGGTCTCCTTTGAAGTCTAGGTTCATATAAAGTATCTTTTTTGGTACGGATAGTGTCTCTTGCTTTTGGTTTTTCTGTTTGATGTTTTTCTCCACGAATCTCGGTGGGTAGCCATTTTGTATGAAGATTTCCCTCAGGAAGTTTAGTTCTTCTTCCATGGTGTCGGAGCTGGAGATGCGTCTGACGCGAGGAGACCTATTTAGTGACGTCCTCAGAAGGAGAATTTCCACCTCTTTAGGAAGAACTTTCCCTGCGGCAACACTAAGAATAGTGTTCTCCAGTCGCCCGCTGATCTGCAGAAACCCAAAGGACAAGATTCCGCACATGACCACTTCTATGTGTATATATCAGTTCACCTGTTGCTGTGGAGCCAGGTACATTGGTCGTTCAACGCGCATCCTGTCTAAAAGGGTCAAAAATACTATTTCATTTGCTGTCCTGTATGTTCTTATAGTTAGTAAAAATGTCGTATGCTGTAAGTTGGCTGCTTCATAAGATGCCTTACACGTCCATTCACCACACTGTGTTTTTGCTCATCTGGTAACTACTAAGTGGGAAATTGGCATGCATCGTTTAAAAAGTTTCAGTGATCTCAAATTTACCTCACTGTGATTTATGGCTTCTATGAATCGGTCAAATAATATTTAGAACTCATGTATACACTTTCAAATTTATAATAGTAGTTAACGGGATTGTAAAAGTGTCATAAGGGAAAATGTGTTCTCCCATCGTATACTATATTCAGTATCACAGATTCGAGTTCGGTAGCTTTCGTGATGAATATGTCGTCCTAGATCCATCAAATGTACAGTGAAAAACACGAAAAGTGACTTAAAATCAGTCAAATACTTCATATCTACTACAAACTGCTTTTATGAAATGAAACCCTAATAAGTGTACACAGCAAATAGTGTTCGATGGCTTCGAATTCAGTTTATGCAATTATTGTTGCGAATCATTAATACTCCTTCTCCTAGGGAGGAAATATAGACTGGGAAGGTTTTTGACGTATATAGTCCCTTATTCGTCCCTGGTGACGACAAACTGAATGTATGACCCGACTAACTAATAGAACTAATTGTGTGTGCGTCGGTGGCACAGTGGTTAGGACTCTCGTCGATCATGCACATGGTCCGAGGTTCGAACCCCTACCGACGCACACCTGATATCTGTGGTCGGCCCGCAAAATTTGGGCTACCGATATTACCTGCTGAAAATTCTATAACGGTACCATAAATACGGTGTGGAGTCAGGCTGTAATGAAAAACAAACTACAGGTACGCAGGACATGATCACAGTGAGTGATCCATGTTAAGAAAATAAGCAACAGACTTTCAACCAACTAGCTGGGACCTCCTCGATCACTGTTTGTAGTTGTCTCTAGAAGTCCTCCCCCAGTCAGTTCGCGTTGTTTGTAGGTGCGTAGGGTAGTAGAATTGTGAGCTTTCACTCTTTCCAGTTGAATAATGTCGTCATGGTCACTGAGCAGATTACATTCCACTAAATGTCTGTCTGTCTGTTTTCGACATAGAACTTTGCACAAATGTGCGGAAGTTCAAGTCGCCACATTCCGTGTAGCACGCGAAGCAAGAGAAGAAAGTACAAGAAAAGCATAATAGAAACAGTGAGCAGAGGTGTGAGACAAAGGAGTAATAAAGAAATACAAAACAGTTTCATTGAAGATCATAAGTCACAGGGAGTGGATGCATCTGCGCCACTGAGAACGATTTTGAGCCATGTCACCAATTGTTTCCAACCATAGATTTTTGCCGTCCCGAGGACCCCAGCCTGGAAGTCTACACCTTCCTACGTGGCTAAGACCAACTGTTGTGGATTTCATTGACTGATGCCAAGTTTTTGTTTGACCGCCGCTAGCTTTTTTCCAGCCTGACCCTATATCCGCTAACATTGCTCGTCGAGGGAGGCGATGGCTTGGCATGCGTAACACATGTCCTAACCATCTCAGTCTTTGTAGCTTCACGACTTCGTCGATTGATTTCCCCTGTTTACCTAGAACTCTACGCCTAACCTCCATGTTGCTCACCTTATTATGCCACTTTACACGGGAAATAGAACGCAGGCACCTATGATCAAAGACAGCTAGTCTTTTCATGTCTTCCACTCTCAGTGGCCAGGTCTCACAACCATAAAGGAGGACGGAGCGGACTGATGAGCAGTACACCCGCCCTTTGGTCGATAGTCGAACATCTCGTCTACGCCAGAGTCGGCGTAAACTAACAAATGCGAAACGAGCCCCTTGTATTCGTGCTGAGATTTCGTCAGAGATCAGCCCGTTGGCACTGGCTGATGGTACTTCCCAAATAAGTGAAGCGGTCAACGTGCTCTACCACTTCACTTCCTATTTTTAAACTAGGCGTCGATGTAGTCCAGTCCTGTAACATCATCTTGCATTTGGCGGGAGCGAATCGCATGCCAAACATTCGTAGATTGAGGCTCAAGGTGTTTAGAAGACTCTGCATTTTGTCAGCGTCTTCGCCTAGAAGGACTATATCGTCTGCATATTCCAAGTCAACGAGATTATTCCCCGGTAGCAAGTCAATCCCTGAGTCACTGAAGTCACTTAGGGTTAAGTCCATCAACACATCTATGATGAAGTTGAATAGAAAAGGAGATAATGGGCATCCTCGACGGACACCACTGGTCGTCATCAGTTCAGATGACAGCTCGCCGTAAGCCCTCACCTGGCTGTATGAGTACGAATAGAGTGCCTTAATCAGTGCAATATATTTTCTCGGGATTCCCTTGACAGCCAAGCATCTCCAGAGAACTTCCCGATCGACAGAGTCGAATTCCGCCTTTAGGTCAAGAAATATTATGACTGTTGGACGCCGGTAGGAATGCCTATGTTCTAGAATCTGTCGGAGGGTGAAGATATGATCAATACACCCTCTTCCTGGTCTAAAGCCTGCCTGGCTCTCTCGTGTTTGTGCTTCCCGAGCACCACTCAGTCTACTAAATGAGTGTCTTCGGTGCTGATGGTAACAGCATATTGGCCACACGCCAGTGTAGTCGTAGTTGTCGTCTGGATGACAAGAGAATATTTTTGACTCTTCAATTAACCATTCGTAGAATCCACTTCAATTCCATCTGATCTCAAAGATTCCTAAT